ATGTATGGTTAACCCAATACTATGTGTAGTAAACATAACACTGTATGATTAACATAACACTGTAAGGTTAACATAATACTATATACGCTATTATGAATTTTAGCGATTTGAAACTAATTAATTTTACACATTACAGATTTGACGCTAATTACCATAGAATGGACATGTAGACGTTGACATCATCAGGCAACAGTAAACTAATAGTCCATAAAAGCAGCCAGTCATATCGCGTTGTTTTGATATAAACTTCACCTGAACAAAAATGACATTAATCAAAATTGAATTGAAATGTAACTACATGGTACATATCACGAAAACAAACAACAAAGCCAAGTTGTAGAACATACACCACACAATATATAAGTAGCTGTCACAAAAACAGACAGTACAGCTAAGTGACACCGCAAACTTAGTTCATAATAGGCAATAATTACGAGTTTACGAGACCTTACTGGAAAATAGAAATGACGTAATCAAAACTTACTTACTCAGAAAGACTTTGCGAAATAACTTGAACGCCACAGTCGTTCAATATGTCTTTTACTGTTTATATTTAAAAAGTATTACAATGGTGTCAAGGAAAATAGATACAGCAAGGAGACACGTGAATACAATAGACACGCGATTCGACAATGTGCGGGTTGCAATTCACTTCCGGTGTTGAATATGTAAATATGGACGTGATGAACATTTATATAATAATTACATTAACAATAATAAGTTTCTGGTATCATCTGTGAGTACTGTATGGTAACAACTGCCGTGTAAATACATTGCAAAGAATACTGACAACTACATGAAACAGAAAAAAATAATACAAAATAAACAATCTATGTATGTTCCATGAACATTTAACGGAGGGGGTTGGGAGGGTAAAATTTAAGTGGTTTGCTAACTCTTAACGAGATCTCGACAGACGTAAACACCCGTGGACATGTACTGCACTAAAATATGAGATAATAACATCGAAATATATTTACGGGCATGTATGTATTTAGGCTCCATCGATATTTCTTTGATATAATTGATTTTCCCAACTGTCTGTTTCGAAGACATCTGCCAGTTTCATCAGATCGCACGATCATATTGACCACGTGACCGAGAAATCTCATTAACAAAAAAATTCACGTTTTATTGCTGATAACTGGTGTGATCAGTGTTTCTACGGAGATTGGAGAACTGTTGTCTGTGCTGTTAGCTTCATAAGTTGGTATAGTCACGTATGTAGGTACGTACGGCAATCGTTACCAAGAAACGCTTAAAAGTTTTGTTTTTTCTGTTCACAACGTCCGATCAATAACTGATCTATTATCTGACTAGAACGGGTCCAGGGTGATGGCATTGTGATGGGACTGAATTGATAGCGGTCCTTTTGACAGGATGCAAGTTCCCTTGTCACCAATCGAGCTTCTGTTACACTCGACTCACTGGTTGCTCCGATGTTCCTCCCTACTCGAAAACTGTTCTCACTCTCCATAAACATAAGCAAGTAAATTGCATAGTTTCTAATTTTCTGTTCGCTTTGTCATGGATCAGTCGTAGTTCAAACTCATTGTCAGTCTAATGGCTGTTTCGATTGAGCAGTTAAAGGGCGGTGGTCGTCGTGCCGCGTCCTGTTCGATATGGACTCATAGCGACGTATACAACGCGTGTAAAATACATTGTTTATTTAGTACATGAAATTCGAACACGTGCTGCGCGACGACCACCGTGTTTTAATAGCAATTGTTCCCCTCCGAAATGTAGCAAAATACAATGAATAATGTAGAACTACGACCATGTCTTTTTCACGGGACGCTGAATTGTTCGGACATCGTGGCGGAGCCATTTTCATGTAGTCGAGCAATTTTCAAGTAGCCGACCGATTTTCAAAGTAGCCGACCGATTTTCATGAAGCGAAGCAATTTTCAAGCAGCCGACTAACTTTCATGTAGCGGACCAGTTGTATACATGGACCACAATTCTTATTACTATTGAGTAAGAAATGTTCAACTGTGCCCTACTGCCAAGATAAGATTCGTATCTATATACTATTATATCTCTTGGCCAATGCCAGTAGCTGTGCCTCTCCAAAGAGATATGAGCGGTAGCGTCCTGAGGAAAAATGTTCGTCAGATTCGTTACAATAGTATTTTTTGGATTTCATGTCTCTGGTAACCCGATTGCTGACACCAAATATGGACAGGTTCGAGGGGTCTACTCGGATACCGGTCAGGAAGGGCTGAAAGTGACGTATTTTCGTGGAATAAAATATGCCGAGCCCCCCGTAGGAGACTTGCGTTTCGAATTGCCAGTTGAGATCAAACCATGGTCACCCGACATATATGATGCAACAGTGTTTGGTCCATCTTGTCCACAGTATTTCTCAGTACCCGATTGGATGCAAAAGCTACTCCCGAACAACGATATTTCTGAAGACTGTCTTCTCTTGAATATCTACGTACCTGGTCATAACCTACAGCCGGCAAACACGTATCCAGTTATGGTATGGATCCACGGCGGAGCATTCAATATTGGACAAGGTATGCTGTATGAGAGTACTGCTCTGGCTGGATTGCATGACGTAATCGTCGTAACCATCAATTATCGCCTTGGAACATTCGGTTTTTTGAGCACCGGTGACGAATATTGTCCTGGAAATTTTGGTCTCCATGACCAAATTATGTCACTACAATGGGTTCAAGAAAATATTGCCAATTTTGGTGGTGACCCTACTCAGGTGACGATCTTTGGTGAGTCGTCTGGAGGTGCTTGTACCAGTATTTTATCTCACTCCCCCGCAGCTGTAGATTTATTTCATCGCGTCATCTCACAAAGTGGCGTGTACCACCGGGGATTAATGATATCCACTGAGCGGGCAACACAGTTTGCTTACAACGTTGGTTACACTGCCAACTGTAACACAACAGATAACCCCGATCTGACCGACCATTACCTACTGATTGAGTGTCTGCGTGATTTGACCTGGGAGCAGTTATTGTACGCCCAGTCTGAATCGATTATTGTACCCTTCCCCGTTGTAGATGGAGACATAATTCCAGGTATCGAACCAAAGCCCGCGACTGATAAGTTCAAAGAATACGATTACTTGGCAGGGACAAACAGCTGGGAAGCTTCGTTATTAGTTGCAAATGTGGACCAGTTTGACGATGGAAAGATGAATGACGTCATATTCAGGGCAATGATAAGGGTAGCAGTGCAAGTCATATTTGAGAACAACGAACATTTAATATCAGACGCTTCGTACCACAAATACACAGCATGGTATCAAACAGATGACGATGAAGTTCGTTTAGATAGATTTAAAAACTTCTTCAACGAACTGGCTTTCCTAGCTCCAACTGTAGCACAGTTACGTGAACACTCGAGGCGCACTCTCATTCCTCCAAGCCCACCAGAAACCAACACATATCACTACTATTTCGACCACCGTCCAAGTTTCTACACAGGTCCTGATTACATTGACGGTGCTGCGCACGCCACTGAAATACCGTTCACATTTGGACTCCTCATGATGACGGGTATCGGCCCATTTGGAAACATGACTGCGCCTGCGGATGAAAAACTGCTCAGTTTAGACATGTCCAGATACTGGACGAACTTTGCCAAGTCAGGGTAAGTCACTTATCTTATTTGATATCACGGAGTCTTTTGAGAAGAAGCAGTCCGTACCCCAAAAGCCAGTTGTCTAAAATGCCCCTATTTGACCCTATTTTTTGTATTAAGTGACGTAAACACACGTCACATATTACTTCTAAACACTTGCCATGAACATTCAAAGATCCATTGTGCGAATTAGAATACTCCAGGCGGCTCTGCACTGATTTACGTAATCTCTTTAAACTACGTGAATATATAATTACCCATATACAAATGTTTTATTTTTCATAGAGATCCCAACCAGCCTGTTGCCGTGCCGGTCCAATGGCCACTGTATGATAACACTCTCTATACCTACATGCGATTTGAACCGAATATGAGCGCCAATAACGTGAGAGAAAACCTACGAGCTGATGGTACTGCATTTTGGATCGAATATGTTCCCACTCTAGTGAATTTGACGTGTCCATCGACTACTCCACCTGAATGCGCATCGCCTACTCCACACGACTCCGCGCCAATCACTGATTCTGTGGCTATGGTTACGACAAGCAATTTCCCAATATGCATTTTAACGTTAATTGTGCTGTTTATTAGTTGTTAATATTTACTTCAACCTGGGGATTTTTAAAAGAAAAACTGACGCCGAGCTGAAAACAAAGTTTCCCCTTTCACGTTAAATTCTCGTACATCTTTGAGATCGGTATTATCATATTATCATATTATTATTGTAATCGTGCTTTTAATATATTTCAGGGCAATTATTTTTTTCATCCCATAATATCGCAAGTATCGCAAGCACAACATAACCATGCAAATTAGTCACGTAGTAATTAGAGATAATTCGTGGCTAAACCGGAGATAACATGTGGTATTTCGAGAAACAATGCTCAATATGTGTACTGTGATGCGCCCTGGACCGATTGATGTACTAACTGCCAGTTTTCGAAGACATTTGTCCGTCTCATTCGACCGCACGTTCTTATTAACCACGTTATTGACAGAGATATCCAATGAACAACAAAATTCTCGTTACTACAGTCAGTAACTGATAGCAGTAGATTGGCATGATAATCGCGCCGCATATCGACTATGCTATCTTGTCCTTTAAAACTATAACGCGATAATGTGTTTAGAAATGTCTTGATAACCTTCAAAGATAGATAACAGAAATACAAATAATAGCTCTGCAGTTCTATTGCTACAGTGGGACCGAACTAAATCACTATAATCGACCCAAGTAATACATTACTTTACCCGAACCTTGTAATACATTACACCAGTTCACTCGAACTAAGTAATACATTACTTTACCCGAACCTTGTAATACATTATACCAGTTCACTCGAACTAAGTAATTCACTACTTTACTCGAACCAAGTAATACATTACTTTACTCGAACCAAGTAATACATTACTTTAACCGAACCTGGTAATACATTACACCAGTTTACTCGAACTAAGTAATACACTTCTTTACTCGAACCAAGTAATACATTAATTTACTCGAACCAAGTAATACATTACTTTACTGCGACCTAGTAATACATTACTTTACTCGAACTAAGAAATACATTACTTTACTCGAACCAAGTAATACATTACACCAGTTTACTCGAACTAAGTAATACACTTCTTTACTCGAACCTAGTAATACATTACTTTACTCGAACTAAGTATTACATTACTTTACTGCGACCCAGTAATACATTATACCAGTTTACTGGAACTAAGTAATACACTACTTTACTGCGACCTAGTAATACATTACTTTACTCGAACCAAGTAATACATTACACCAGTTTACTCGAACAAAGTAATACACTTCTTTACTCGAACCAAGTAATGCATTACTTTACTCGAACCAAGTAATACATTACACCAGTTTACTCGAACTAAGTAATACACTTCTTTACTCGAACCTAGTAATCCATTACTTTACTCGAACTAAGTAATACATTACTTTACTGCGACCTCGTAATACATTACACCAGTTTACTCGAACTAGTAATACATTAGTTTACTCGAACCTTGTAATACATTACACCAGTTTACTCGAACTAAGTAATACACTTCTTTACTCGAACCTAGTAATATATGACTTTACTCGAACTAAGTAATACATTACTTTACTGCGACCGAGTAATACATTACACCAATTTACTTGAACTAAGTAATACACCACTTCACTGTGACCTAGTAATACATTACTTTTCTCGAGCCTAGTAATACATTCTTTTACTGGAACCTAGTAATAGATTACTTTACTCAAGTGATATATTCAATGTATTCGAGCCTAGTGATACATCTACGTATTCGATCAGAGTAACATATCTCTATAATCAGTCTCAGGAATACATTCAGTGTACTTGAATGAATTATTCATCGGTGTACTCGACAATACATATATGAAGTAACACACGTAGTTGTACCCGATACTTCATCGCTCATGGTATTCAAACCAATATCGCTTTATTGTTTCTCGAGTGAGAGCCAGATATTTGGTCAAAGGAGGTCACAGGATCATTTTTATAAATTCTTATATTAGATTCACCTAGTGTATTTCTTGGGGATGACGTCAGCTCGTGGTTTACTGGCCTCTGATGTCTGAATACCCAAGGTACTTACATTGATTCAGATTAACGGATGCCTGAACGCTTACTTGACAATAGATAGCTGTACTGAAGCCGAGTGATACATTTGTTTAACTTTGTACGATAAGATCCGTATCTGTATACTGATTACATTTCCTTGTTGCTTTGCCCAGTAGCTGTGTGTCCCCAATGCAAGCATTACCGATGCTGACTTGCGGCAAAATGTTTGTCACACTTGTTACAATAGTGTCTTTCGGTTTTCTTGTCTCTAGCGAACCAATTGCTGACACCAAATATGGACAGGTTCGAGGGGTCTACTCAGACACCAAACAGGAATATTCAAATGTGACGTATTTTCGTGGAATAAAATATGCCGAGCCGCCAGTCGGAGACTTGCGTTTCGAATTGCCAGTTGAGATCAAACCATGGTCGCCCGAAATCTATGACGCCACAGTGTTTGGTCCATCTTGTCCTCAGTATTTCTCAGTACCCGATTGGATGCAGAAGCTACTCCCGAATAACGACATATCTGAAGACTGTCTTCTCTTGAATATCTACTTACCTGGCCATACCCTACAGCCGGCAAACACGTATCCAGTTATGGTATGGATTCACGGTGGAGGGTTCAATTTCGGTCAAGGTATGCTGTATGAAAGTACGTTTCTGGCTGGAGCGCACGGCGTAATTGTCGTAACCATCAATTACCGCCTTGGAACATTCGGTTTTTTGAGCACCGGTGACAAATATTCTCCAGGAAATTTCGGCCTTCATGACCAAATTATGTCACTACAATGGGTTCAAGAAAATATTGCCAATTTTGGTGGTGACCCTACTCAGGTGACAATCTTTGGCGAATCGGCTGGGGGCATCAGTACCGGTATTTTAGCCCATTCCCCGAAAGCTGCTAATTTATTTCATCGCGTCATCTCACAGAGTGGTGTGTTTCACCCAGGGTTCATCATACCAATTGAACGAGCAACAGAGTTTGCTTATAACGTTGGATACACTGCCAACTGTAACACAACAGAGAACCCCGATCTGACCGACCATTACCTACTAATTGAGTGTCTGCGTGATTTGACCTGGGAAGAGTTATTGTACGCCCAGC